GACGCTGGCGTCTTCTCCATGCTCACAGTTGTTGAGACCCCAAGGTCTGGCCAGGCAATCAGACAGGGCAGCTTCGGTCCCGCTGCACTGAACGTTGTCCAGCCAAATGCGGCCCGATCCCTGACCAAAGTGAGCTCTACCGTAGGCTGAGACTGCCATCCCGCAGCCCAGCTGCCGGCACACCACTCTGGCGTCGGCGAAGCTCCAGTCGTCATCACACACCGTTCCCCATTGGTGGTCATGCAACACCTCTACTCTGCCAGAGCAGCGGTTCGGGCCGTTCACCAGGCGGAGCTCTGCAGGACCGATGTGGATCTCCGTAGGGTGGCTGGAGGAGTCTACGAGGGGCAGAAGAGGTGCACCATGAAAACCCCCTTGCCCCTCGTTTCTGCAGGACCATTCTGCACTCCTCTGTGGTCGTTGGCTGTGCCCAGTGGCTACCAATGTGCAGCCACCTCAGGACTGGGATGGGGGTGATGCCATGTGGTCCCAGCATCCCATGGTCTTTCTGGCTGTAGCTGGAAATCCTGAGGATGCTGGGATAGGAGAAGGAGGAAAGTTTTTTTTTCCCTAGTGTTCATGGGGCACCATGTCCTCTTTGCAGGTGGAGGCGACAACTGAGGCAGCTCAGCGTGCCTGTGTGCCAATGTGTGCTGGGACAATCCAGGCACTGGTGCCTCCAGTATCCACCTAACTGCCATGAGCGCCTACACCTTGATCAGCCACCAAAGCTCCAAGCTTTTGGAGCTCCAAGCTTTTGGAGCCTCATAGTTTGTGGCCATAAAAGAGTGCTCTCTGGCTGATTGTAGCTCACGAGAGGCAAGGGCATGGAAACCATCCTGTCTCTCGTGTTGATGATGGGGAGGAGGAATCTGTCTCCTCCTGGCCATTCTCAGGCATTACCTCCACACACCACGCCAGCATCTTCACCATGGTGGCAGTTGTTCTTTCCCCAGCCCTTTGTCCTGCAGTAAGACAGGGCAGCCTCCAACCCTGTGCAGCTGACATCGTCCAGCCAGATGGGACCAGACCCTGCCCCGAAATGTCCAGCCCTCGTGGCTGACAGCGCCGTGCCACAGCCCAGCTGCCGGCACACCACGGCAGCATCATCCAGGTCCCAGTGGTCATCGCAGACCGTACCCCACTGGTTCTCGTAGAAGACCTCAACCCTGCCGGCGCAGTGGTGCGGGCCATCTGACAGGCGGAGGGGAGCCCGCTGTGAAGCAACAGGGTCTGCAAGAGGGATACAGAGAGCAGGAAAGGCTGCGTCGCTTGCACAAGCTTAATGGATGCTCTGCAAATGGCAGTGGCTTATGTGAACCACGGACGTGCTTCTCCTTTGGCTCAAAGACAAATCAAAAAAAAACAGGAGAGAAAATGCTCTGCAAACCCCGTTTTTGAAAGACAATTATCTTTAAAGGGGCCTCAGATACCTTTTTGCTTAGTATTCCCACTCAATGAAAAGGAAAACACTGCTGGCTGGTCTGAAAACTCTGGGAAACTATGTAGGGAGTAGCTGCCAGCCATCTGATGGAAAGGGGGAGATCTGTCTGCGTGCAACCTGGTGCTTTAATTAGCAATTTGCGTGATGCGATAGGGGGCCTGCACAGCAAATTAGCCCATGGCCCCTAGCCAAGCAGAGCTGCGTCTTAGAGGAGGGCTGAAACCGCAGCAAAAAAGGTAAATATGAGGTGTTTAATCACCATGGCAGTAAGCACCAGTGTGGCCCAGCCGCTGTGAGATGCCTAGGTTGGAGTCTGGGTAGATGCTGCAGCATACCGTGGAGAAGGGGATGCGAAACGAGGCAGGCAGAGGCAGACAAAAATAAGAAAAGCGCCTTGGCCTCCCACTTGCAGCGCCGTCGGTCACCTCCTGGAAAGCCTTCATGTCTGCGTGGCCCAGAGCAGAAGAAATGCTCCTGTTTGCACTGGGAGGAGGAGGACTTTGTGCCCTTTGTAAACAAACTGGCTGGCCCTGAAGAGGTGGCCAACACAAATAAGCAATTTCTGGTCTTTACTGTCACCGGTTGGTGAGGCTCCAAGCATTTCCCAACTACTCTGTGCAAGGGCAGCAGCGCAGAGGCCAGGATAAATACCCGGCTAATGAGATCTCCTTCCCTATCCACTGCTTTCTCTTCCTTTTTAAAGGCTTGTGGGTCAAAGGAAGATTTGCCCCATCCATCTGCAACCCCAGTCCTCCCAGTCCTGCAGATCACTGACCCCCTTTTTCTCCTTACCCCATGTAAGAGCCACTCACCACAGAAGCACACCAGGTAGATGAGGAGCCCTGCTCCGGTGAAGCCAGCCAGATTGCTGTGCAGGGACAGGAGGCGACATCCCAAAACCCCCATGCCTGTTGCGTATGCCTTAGGACCAGTGATGGTCCCAGTGCGAGCTGCAAGCTGAGCTGGGTGCTGTGGGTGGTGAGAGAACAGATTTGTCCCCTCCTCTGCAGCAATGCGCCCTATGTTTGCCCAGGACAAACTCATCCCTCCTCCTGCACTGACCCCTCCTCCCTGCCGTCCCCAGGATTTTGCCCTCTGGTTTTAAGTGGTTTAAGGGCCTCCCCAGCACTCAAGCCATGTCTGCTGGGAGGCTCCCCCCATTCCCAGTTGCGTCTGTCCCATTTCACCTGCACCTCCTTGGTCCCCAGCCAGCTCCAGGCTGTGAATCCAGCAGCAGGAGCGTTTGCAATGCTCGCTTACAGAGGTTTGCACTCCTGGGAAAAGCCGAGCCTCATCTTGCAGGTATCCAAAGGTGAACCCCCACTATACAGAGACACCCCCAGGGTGCTTGCAGAGGGCAAGAAGCCTCCTTTCCCCTGCCAAAATAAGGCGTTTCGAGGGGTTGTGTACATTGAACAGCATGCTCTGGCTGGAGGCTGTCCCAGAGTCATGTTGCTGAAGGCATCACACGTCTAAAATGCACAGCCTATATTCTCTGAGTATCACATAATATAAAGAATAAGAAGAGGGTGGTTCAGAAACGGCGGTGAGATTAAGCTGCCAATATGCTCAGATTTTGGGCAGCCCTGGTTGCGCTGATTCTCGTCCTCAGTTTAAAGGAATTTGGGGAACTTAGAGACCCCTGAGTTTGTGCTGAATATCACCGTGCTTGTACTATGATTCAGGTTTTCAGTGAACAGTCTTGTCACCTGCAAGCAGCAGGATGGGGTGCAATGGGGCCCCTGGGGTGACCTGTGGGTTTTTTGCATCCCAAGGCTGGAGACATGGCTATGGGGCAAGGAGCCTGCCCAGTCCCTGGGGCTGGTGCAAGGAAAGCAGAGCATTGCTGAGCCCTGGGACCAGGACATTGGACCAAGTGGGCTCCTGGCCATCAGAGATGATGGAGCTGGGCATGGTCCTCCTGCATGTGGTCACCAAGAGACCCCCGAAGGGGAAGACTGCGCCTGCGCAAGGGGAGATCTAATTTACATCCGAAGCGGGACGGAGTGATGAATATGTACTAGGCGATGAAGCAATCTTGTGAATATGTAAGTTCTGCTGCTTTAAACAGGAGGCAATTACCGCGGCTCGGGGTGCAAGCATCCTTAGGGTACCTGACCCTTGCTGCACCCAGCGGTGCAGAGCTGTAATAAACAGACCGGCTTCACAATCAACTTGGATTGCGGAGTTCTTTCGCAGATCAGGATCATCACTGCAATGATACTCAGGAGACACAAATACGGATATCCCATGGAGAAGTATCTGTGTTAGCAAGGGCCATCGCCTTATTTATCACCCCACGGAGAAGGCAGTGTGACTGATGGGCCAGAAGTGTCAGTGTCCTGGGGCAGCAGGGCATGGACCGGAGTTACCCCCAGGGCCCATTTGCAAAGGGGACTGAAAAGGCCTGCAGGGACAGGCTGGAAGATGTGTGTAGGCTCAGCACACCCCAGCTTTGGATTTTTCGAAGATCTGTGCCTGGGTGTCGGTTCCTTGTTGCAAGGTGCCCTTATGTCCCTCAGTGCTGTTAGACGCGTGCGCTCAGCTACCCAGATACCATTTCTAACCTTAAAAAGAGCTCTGCCCCACTCCTAACCCTTTCTTGGCACCTCCATGGGCTTTAAACACAACCTGAAGGATGGGCAGGTTGTAGAGTCAAAATTAGTGCCCAAGAAGATGTTGGGGGGCGGGTGGACTGCCTGTCCCACCACATTGGTGGCTGGATCTCCTGTCTCACCCCCCAGCCCTCTGCAAAGAGACAACCAAACATCCTGGGTCAAATACCCAGGTTGTGTCAAACTGGAACAGAGCGGCTCATCCACAAAGTAGATGAAGGAGTGGGAGGCTCCGCAGCAGCCTGAGATGACCACCCAGCCACGCAAGGGAGGACTCTGGAGCTAAACTCCTGTAAATCATGCCAGGAAAAGGCTGAAAAGGGAACTGTGCTTCCTAGGTAGAGCATAACCCCGGGCCACAGCTTTAGGAACAAGAAGAAAGAAAAGCTAACTTTGCAAAGCCTGCTGGGTGTATCTCTGTTACCCTCCTTGGGGTCATTAGGGGAATGACCATTATCCTGCTCATTAGGAGAGAGCAGGACCAGGCAGGCAGGGGTCAGCACAGGATGTCCTTGTGGCCTGGGGAAGAACTATTAATTCTGATGTATGTTTTCATCTCAAGGTGCCTGAAAGAAGGTGTGTTTCAGCTGACTAAGGGGTGTTCCCGAAGCATGAAAGGGACCATGTGTTGCATACCCTAGGTCATGGTGCAAGGAGCTGGATGCCCAGTGGGATAAGACCTCTGAGATAGCTTTGGGAGACTGGACAAGGCTTGAAGGATCCAGCCCTGCTGTAGTTCCTACCACCTTCCAGAAGCAGCCCTTGGAGTGCGTCCAGGGGTGTCCTGGGGCTCTCAAACCCAGGGAGAAACACAAAGTTGGTGTTACAGCAGAAGCCTGGAGAAGTGGAAACACACAAGTCAGCGTGGAGGACTGGCATGGGATGATAAGAGATGGGGCATGCTGGAAAGTCCAAGGCTGTCAGCAGCTCACCGATTCTTAGCTTGCAGGCCTGGATCTGGACAAAAACAGTTTTAGGGGTAAAAAAGAAAAAGTACCCAACACAGAGGAAAAGCCCCATGTATAGTCAGTTCGGGTGCAATATTGATTTGTGGGCAGATAAGAACAAAGTGTGAAGGTATGTCAGAAAACACGTGAATCCAAAAATGGAAGAAGGTGAGGAGGAAGAATTCCTATCAACTTCATACTCTTCTCAGGAATAAAGCTTGGATCCCTGATGACCCACTGCCAAGCCCCCTTGCATGAGGAAGACTGATGCCATTGACCTTCAGACTGAGGGAACAGCAGAAAAGTGAGCACAGGACCTGGAAAAGTGGTAGAAACTAGGGAGTGTGTGTCCTGGGCAACTCCTTTGTAGTGCAATAGAGCCCAGGACCAACCCATATCCATGCAGGTATTAACTGAAAATTCCCACCGTCACCATCAACTGGACTATGAAATGTTCACACAAGGCTTACTACAAGTTTAACACACAGAGTTACTAGTCTGAGAAGTGCTTCCACAAGCCTTAAAAGCTCCTCTGAATATACCACAGCCATAGAGTTGGCCATAGTCTTGTCTAGTCCTCCTTTCCAAGTGTCCTGCGTGCTGTAGGATCAGCTTTTACTCACTAGTTCTCCAAGCTTTCGGCTCATTTGGGGTTTCATGCACTCCTCGTTTCCACACATCGTGCAAGCCATCTTCTGTTTTCCGGCTTGGACAGTCCTCTCAGGGCACTCCGAGACTTCATCTTCTGAGCCCCTGTGACCCAGCGTGCATCCCGTTTCTTCTCTTCCCTTGCCTTGCAGGTGTTCATACATTTACCCCACGACAGCCTCTGTATTTATCACATCACTCAGCCTGTTTCCCTCTGGTTGGCTACCTATCTATTTTCCTGGTCCTTCAGGAGCAGGACTGCCCTGCCAACACACGGCAGGGTGCTTGCACGGGGTCCTGCTCGGCTGTTTGTAGTCCCATACCACTCGGGTTGGCATGAGCCGCGGTGGCACCCAGCGCTTATTTCTACCAACAGAGCTTCTTAACCCTCCTGCCACCAGACTTGCACCTCCGTGCCCTCCAAGCCCTTCACAAGAAGCCCCTGTCCTCTGAGAGGCCCCACGAGACTGGTGTCCAAGGACACAAGGCACAGGAGCGTGTTCGGGAATACAGCAGATGGAAGAGATCAGCGAGATCTAGCTGCCGCCATACAGCTGCATCTAGTGAGCTGGAGGTCCTTTGTCACGTTTCCAGTCCTGTATCAACGTCCTAGAATTGGGGCATCTTGGATGGCTCTAAATACCTGCGTGAGGCCTAAACTG